TTATTTATTTATTTATTTATTTATTTATTTATTGAGTTGGAGTCTTACTCCATCACCCAGACTAGAGTTCAGTGGCACGCTCACAGCCACCCCAGCGTTGATCGGCTGGGCTCCGGACATCCTTCTGCCTTCTGAGTAGCCGGAACTACAGGTGCACGCTACCAACCCTGACTAATTTTCTATTTATTGTAAAGATGAGGTCTTGCCAAGTTGCCTGGGTTGGATTTGAACCCATGGCAGCCTTTCTTAAGTAGGATTTCTCATCCGGACAATGGGACACACAAAATCATCTGAGTGATTATTTTTCAATTCTCCCAGAGATAGTACATAACCAGTACTTTTCTAGATGTACAGGTAAGAAATTAATTCTATACAAAAGCATGCATATGGTATTAGGGTGTTGTCTCCCAGAATGCCAGCTGAGAAAGGTTGTTAGATTAACCAGTAAATGCTCCATGCTGGTTTTACATATGACTTAAAAATACAATTACTATGCAGTAATCTTCCCATATGTTCAGTTTTACAATATGGGTGCATGTACAAGCAGAACATCTTAGCAAACTGTTTATCTGAGTCCCAAAAGCATAGTTCATAAATTATAACCACTTGAAAGGCAAACCACAAAGGAAATTGTTAGGGAACACCCAACAACATTTTTGAAAGAAAATCTCCACGGTTTGTCATATGGTAGTTTCCTACATGTTGAAAAAATGCTTACTTTTTACTTAATATCGGCTACAAATAATTATCTATTTAACCACAAAATCCATAAGATTTATCAAAATCAGTGTATGGTCCAAACCCTATGTTCATGAATGATTATGTATAAATTAGAATTTCAAGTTTATAATTTTGTCTCCATTAGTATAAATTCTGTCCATCTCAAACCTCTATCTAATGACCAGGACTTGCCATTTCTAAAGCCTGTTCCTTAGTTTGCCTCTAAACACTGGGATGTTTTTTCTCCACTATGACAAGAAATTAATGTTATTTTAAACTTTTTTGTACCTAACAAAAAGACTTTCTTTTGGTTAAAAAAGTTTTCTTTGTATTTACAAACCATTATGGCTAAAAAAAAAAAAAAAAAGTACAAAGCACCCCGATAGTAACTGGTGAGTTCAAAAAACTGATTTAAAAAAAACCTAGCAAGGTTTCAGAAATGTCACACCAGTAACAAAGCATATTTCTATATTCTGTTTATATTTATTATTTTCCATCACGCATTGTTACCCTTTTTACATTAGTGAATAAAAAATAAAGTTACAAGTCTGTGTGAATGGCATCATTTTAAAAACTGTAATGAGATTCAACCACAACGAGTTGTTTGAATTTCTGCATTCCAAATTATGAATTCACTTTCTATTCCAACCTACCTTACAGATGGGGAAAAGGAGCAAAACTCCTCTGAAAGTCTTATAGGAACTCTATTATCAGAAACTAACACATGACACTCTCACTGTACACTCAATCTCCCAGTTGGCACTGGGTTGCAAAATTCATTCCAGCAGAACCTAGTTTTATCCAGAGGTTTCTGTCACCCTTTGCCTGCGTGAGAAAATGTTGAGAGGAAAACACCATACTGTCTAAGAGATCACTTTCACTGTGGGAGTGAGAGGAAGCCCAGGCAGCCTGGAAGGAACAGTAAGATATTTTCCATGGCACGTTTTCTACTGGGACCACTAGACCCAGAGAATAACTAAAGAGTGCCATTAACCCTTGCTTTTGGTGAACTACAAATGCTGTGTGTGTATACATCAAGAGTAGGGAAATGTTATTTATTATTTGGCTGAGTCTTTAAGAGTTTCTACTACTCCTAAGATCAGGCAAACTCTTAACCTATTTGAAGAACATCTCAGAGGGATCTTGGAAATTATTTCATTATCAGGTGAATATTCAAATAAATTCAGTTTGTTTCTTAACAGAAAAAAAGACTAAATGGAAATTTCTTTATTTTGTAATTCAGAACTACTTTTTAAAATTGCCTTCCATTAAAACATGTACACTTTCTTAAGGTATACGTCAAAAATATTGGTTTGCACTGGAGAAAGTAGGTAAGAAATATAATTTTAATATTACACTACTGAGAGAGACCTAATTAATGTTCAGGAATATGTGTGCATACACACACAGAGAGAGAGAGAGAGAGAGAGAGAGAGAGAGAGAGAGAGAGAGAGAGAGAGAGAGAGAGCGTTCCCACTCATGCACATAAAGAGAAATCTATTTTAGCTGTGGACCTTTTACCAGGATGAATAATTCTCATGTGCTGCTCTGTACCTTACTGTCATTGAACCTCTGCTACCTAATAAAAGACCCAAAACTTGGCTGACTTAAAATAATGACTGTACTATTATCTTTCATCTGGAGCCTGAGAATGCTTTGATGCTGACCAAGTCTGAAATCACACCGATACCTATAGTGGAGGCTGACAATAAAAGAAGAAAATCAAACAAAAGCCCACACAAATATGAACACGAGTCTCTTGGCTGGTGAAATGATGGTCATTTTCTTCCTTATCTTTGTCTACAGTTTACCAAGTTTCTTTACTGATACACTATTTCCATAATTTGAATGCTCCTTCTCTATGTACACTGTCACCAACCCTCAGCGTCTCCTCTAAGCAGCCCTCGCGTGTACAACTCTGCCTGGAAGCTGATGTCACCTTAGGGCACTGACCTCCCTGAGCTGGCAGGAAGCGCTGGTCTCTTCCACGTGCCAGCCAGGTCCCACTGGGCTGTGGTGAGGAAGCACCCCCACCACTGCTGCCTCTAGTTCACAGTTCCCCCAGGGCCATGTTAAATCTCCCCACTTCTGATACTTCCCCTCACACCTCCACTTCTTCCCAACTGAGCCTTTAATCCACTGACCCTATCACTTCTTTTTACAGCAAATCATTTCCTCTAAATCTTGCTTTCCCACCACCATAATCCCTGCCTTGCCTCCTTTACTGCCAGCACTCACCTGACAACACCCTGAATCTGTCAAGTCCCATCTGTCTAGTCTACCCCATCACCAAGTAGCTGAACAAGACTGAGACAACATACAACCACACTGGCTGTTTTCACCCTAAATTCATGACCACAAACCTCAAAGTGGGCCTTCTGCGCTGCCAGGCAGTCACACTGCTCCCCTGGACCACAGGAGGCCTTGAATGAAGGTGACTCTGGCAGCCTGCTCCATTTCCTCCCTCCATTCGCTCTTAAACCATGGGCTTCAATACGGTAAGTAAACGCCACGAAAGGGTACTACAGGTGCACCAGACCCAGGTGGGGAGGCAGGAATCTGGAAAGGCCTCCTGGAGAGGCACCATTTACATGGAACCTGGAGGAAGGATGAGCATTTGTGATGCACGTACCTGTGTGCACTGTTGGGAAGACACAGGGGCCAGGGGAGGAAGGCCCCAAGCGTGAGAGTGTTTTGAACAGAGAAAACCCGAGCAAAGCCCAGAATCCACAGACCTCCTAACGTACTCAGGGAACTGAGAGTGAAGTGATTTCCTATGGTTGAAGAGCAAAGTATGAGTTGAGAAGTACTGAGACAGGGACGAGGAGGTCAACAGGGCACCACTGTCAAGCCCTATTAAGCAGTGTGAACTTACCCTGGGGTAAGAGTCACTAGAGGATTTAAAGCAAAAGGGGTTGGGGGTGGTTTAAAAAATGCAAAATAATGTTTACATGTAACATGATCTTCACTAATTCTAGCCAGTGTGAAGGGTTTAGAGGGAGACAAAAGGTCAACTTAGTAACTGTGGAGACAACAAAAGGTGAATATTCAAATTGTCCTCCAAGAAGTATTAGATGAAACTAAGAATTATAACATACAGCCAAATAAAATGAACACTGAAAGCACAAAGGTACAGTTGTAAGAATGAATAAATGACCAGAATTTGGGTTTCATAGAATATGGGACACACAAACTGAATCTCCAAGGAAGTGTAGTAAGATTCCAGAGAAGGAAAGGCACTCTAAACTTCCTGAAGGACACTTACTTAGCAGAGTTACTTCACTGCACAAATAATTTGAGGGAAAAAAAATCTGCATGTTTAAAAGGCATATCCTATTTTTTAGGCAAAATCCTTAAAAATCTCCACTTATGACTAATTTTAACACTATAATTTTTTGGTCACACTCTATTAAATCTATGCTAATCAACTACAAGCTGTAAAAGTCAGCATAGGCTGACCTCTAGTACGTCTTTGCTGTCATTACAAAAAAGTTTCACTGCCGGTAAAATCATATAGAAAAATGAAACAAAAACAGTCCAATCAAGACAAACTCAGTGTAAACATACATTTTTAAATAACCAAAGACTATAAAATAAAGAAACATATTGTCTTACTTAAGCCTATAGTAAATATACCTCAGGATGAAATAAACTTAAGAGATAATAACTACTCAATTGAATTCAGCAAATACCCACAGAGAATGTATACAGCCGCACCCCTGTACACCTTGACATACACTTTGCCACTGCGAGGGCAATAGAAAGGTGAAGCACTAAAGGGCAGGAGCTTCCTCAGGAAGGTCACACTCTAGAGGAGGAGACAGGTTTATCTCATGAGCATTTTTACTACACTTCGGCAATGACAAAGTGATTTTATAACTAAAAATACTTCTAGCTGAGAAGACAGTGATATCCTTTTGCATCTGGTAATACAAGATATAGCTGTCAAAGGGATAACATTCCAACTGTAGTTAATCACTTCATACTTCCAACATTTTACTCTACAAATATAGGGCTGTTGGATTCAAGAAATTTACTACTGATTTGAATTATGATCAAAAATTATATAATTGCAAAATATCAAAAGAAAACATCAAACTCTAGGCAATATATAAATGGCAAACACAGAAAAATGTGACAATGAAAAGAGTCTAAGTGGAATTTCATAAAGAGCAAAGGAGAACCCACCTAATAATTTGTACTACAGATCTGTAGTTTAAATAGTAAGTTTATCACCTGTCTCTCAGTTTAATACTTGAAAGCGACCCAGTAACACTTACCTTATAACTATAAGCATGGCTATGAGAATCGAGCAGATAGGATCTGCTATCATCAGACCAAAATTCTGCATCATGATGGCAGAAGCAATTACACCAACACTCCCAAGTGTATCTGCTAAAATGTGTAAAAATACACCTAGAAATAAAGCATAACAAAAATCAAAATAATATTTCCTGGCTAGTTTAAAATGCAAATATTTCCTAGAATTACACTCTTAATTTTAGATTAAAAAACCTAAGTACCTGTTTGAAAAATAAGCATGTATAGGCACTGTTTAGTAAGTATGTAATAATAGCACATTTACAAACTGAAATAATCTTTTCTTTTTCAAACCAACAGGAGTTCAAATATCTTCCTGGTAAATTATACTTGCTCTTAATGATATAAATTAAAAAGTAAAGAAGCAAACTGATCCTAAAAACTGTTTGCAAGCTTTTATCTCTGGCCGAAAAAGTCCAAGGTTAATTAACAATTTGTTAGGCAAGGGAAACCGCATGAGGCCAAAAGAACTGGTCAAGACATGTTAACTACAAATACACGTGCACACAGAGCCCCCTGCTGGTGATTGAAGTTATTACCAATTGGGACCAGAATGTCCTATGATCCTTGTTATACTTAGGAATCATCCTGAAAGTTGTTACCTAAATTAGTTACACACTATATGAAAGTATTTCAGCGCCAGTAACGACTCCGCACCCGGCCAAGACCAAGAGATTAATAAAGGGGCTGTTACAGAGAGGGTCTGTAACCGAGAAAAAGCAAGAGAGGGGGAGAGACAGAGAGAGAGTGAGAGACAGAGAGAGAGTGAGAGAGAGGGAGAGAGTGAGAGTGAGAGAGAGAGAGAGAGTGAGAGAGTGGCGGGGAGACAGAGAGAGCAAGAGAGAGAGGGAGCAAGAGAGAGTTATGCAGGGAGATGGGTGTATTTATGGGCTTGGCAGGGGCTGGAAGGGGCTGTGCTAGGTTCTTATTGGAGGAGCAACATGGGAGCAGGGTGGGTATAACAAAGCTAGCTACGTCATGGGAAATGATTGGAGGCTTGCAGGCTTGAACTTCGCGCGCGAGGGGAATCGTGCATGAAGAAGCCGGAACCTAGGGCCTTTGTTGTCTAGTGTGGCTTTACCATGTTTGGTGCCATTTTGGGAGCCACCCCTCTGGCTGTTTCCTGTACCCTTCACTATACTCAGATACAATGTGAAAGAAAGGAGAACTCTGAATACTTTAAAATCAATATAAAAGACTTCCGGCAAGATGGCAATGGGGCAACCTGGTCTGTAAAACCCTCTGCAAAGGAGAACTGCAGTGGGTCTCGGGCTCTCGCCCCGGGGACTGCGGACCCCAGCATCGCAGCCTGCTCTTCATACGGAGCTCAGCCGTTGTCACTGCTGGGGCATCACAGCGGACTGGACAGCCACTGCAGCGCAGATGCCGCCGCCGCTGGTACCACATCACACCACCCGGGCTGGAGGCGATCCACGACTTAAGTCCTTGAAGCCCCTTCAGGGAAGATCTGCTGGGATCGCTGCCACCTTTCCTGCGACCGAGACGTCCTGCCTGCTGTGAGTCTCCTGCCTATGCCCTGAGGCAGGCATCCATCCATCTCCAGTCTCTGCCAGTTCCTGTTCGGCCCCACCCTCTCTGGGGCGAGGAGCTGAGATAGCACCACCTGCTGGCGATTGAAGATAACAACACCGAAATGGGAGAAACAAGCTTGAAAAAGACATAGGCCAGAGTGGTGAACGGAGGGTGATCTGAACTGTCCTTCACAGCAGACCAGGGGCAACTGACCCTAACTGCAAACTAATTTACCAACTTGAAAAGAAAGCTAGAAATCAGAGCTGAAAGGACATTGGACTTAAACGAAAAGTCTCAGAGTGTGCTTGATTGGTTCTGTTAGTTTAATGACTTAATTCTATTCCTACTGTGTATTGTTCCTTTTTTTTCCTCTTCCTTTTCTTCTCTTTTCTTCTCTCTGTAAACCATATCTTTGTATAGAGGAACAGCACATCAATAAGGTGGTTGGTTAGCTTGTATGTTAGCATCACTATATGTTTTATTTTTTTTTTTGTATGGGAGTTGGTTCGTCTGTAGCTGTGGTCTATTGTTTTTATGTGTTTCAGTATAGGTCTCTCTCTCTCCATTTGTTGGCACACGTTTGTTTCCCCCCTTACTCCTCTATCTCTCCACCCCCCTCATCAACCCACTGTCTGCTCCATTCTCTTCCCTCTGCTAACCACATTTTATTTCAGGGAGTAAACCTACAGCCCCACTGCATGGACAGATTCCACGGCAGTGGGAAGTGGGTTCCATTATCCACACACCTGTCAGCGAATACAAGGACCTGCAGATAGATTTTGAATCACAGCTCCCCGCTTAAGTAAATCTCAAAACTGCAAAAAGGACCACCCCCAACCTACAGTGCAACTCAAGAATTGAACAAAGTAAGAGGGCATACATAAAGAATAGGAGATTGAACAAACAAAAGTAAAACCAATCCCTTTACCCCTGAATAACAGAATTAAAGAAGACGGTAACGTGAAGGGAAGGAAAAAGTAGGGAGGGGGTTAAAAAACCGCACAAATGAAGAAAAACCAAAAGAAGAATATAGGTCTCACACAGAACCCTGGGAGATCAGACACTGAGAAACAGATTCTGGAACACAAACAATGAAGAGCCCCCAGAATGACTGGTTACATGCAACAAACCCAGACATCAAGACATTAATGGAGAGAATTTAAAAAATTGAGGAGAGACAAGAGGAAAATAGGAAGGAGTTGATGTCAGAAATGACAGCAGTAAAGAATACTGTGATGGAAATGAACAACAGACTAATAAGCATGGAAAGCAGAATCAGCCAAGCAGAAGAAAGAATCTCAGAGCTTGAAGACCAAAACACAGAACTAACCCAAACTGTCAAAAGAATAGAAAAGAAGCTCAAAAAGACAGAACAAAACCTGCAAGAGATGAACGATCACTTCAAGAGACCAAACCTAAGAGTAATTTGGCTTCCTGAGGCAGAGAGAGAAACAGAAGCCACACTGGAACAAACATTTCATGAAATCATTCAAGAAAACTTCCCTCATCTCATCAAGGATGAAAAAATTCAGACACAAGAGATTCAGAGAACCCCTGCAAGACAACAAATGAGAAGACCAACTCCCAGACACATAATAATTCACCTAAACAAAGTAGCTATAAAAGAAAAAATCCTAAAGGCAGCAAGAGAAAAAGGCCAGACTACCTACCAGGGAAAACCAATTAGAATAGCAGCAGATTTATCCACAGAAACCCTGCAGGCTAGGAGAGCCTGGAGCCCTATCTTCAAAGTTCTAAAAGAGAAACAATTTCAACCAAGAATAACCTACCCAGCCAAACTAAGCTTCATTAGTGAGGGAGAATTGAAATCTTTTCCAGATATCCAATCCCTAAGAACCTACGCTGCCACCAGACCAACTCTACAAGAAACACTTAAGAAAGTACTGAACACAGAAGAAAAAGAAAAAAGAACAACAACATTCTTCACAAGAGTACAGGCAAAAGATTAAAAACACACATGAGCCAACTCCAAAACTCAAAGAAAGACAACACACAAACAGAAACAACCCTGTAAGAACCTTATGACAGGGATCAACTCTTGCATTTCAATTATTAGCCTAAATGTGAATGGACTAAATGCACCACTGAAAAGATACAGAATGGCAAAATGGATAAAATATCATCAGGCAACAATCTATTGCCTTCAAGAGACTCACCTCACTAGAAAGGACACCCACAGACTCAAAGTAAGAGGATGAGAAACAAACCTTCAGGCGAATGGAATACAAAAGAAAGGAGGAGTAGCGATCTTAATTTAAGACAAAATACCCTTCAAGCTATTAAAAATCAAAAAAGATACAGAAGGCCATTACATAACGATAAAAGGCTCAATCCATCAACAAGAAATATCAATCCTAAACATATATGCACCCAACATAGGTGCGCCAACTTTCATAAAGCAACTTCTAGGAAAACTAAAGAAAGTATTGACTCTAACACCATCATAACTGGGGACTTCAGTACCCCACTCACAACCCTAGACAGATCATCAGGACAAAAAATCAGCAAGGAGATTCGGAACCTCAATGTGACTTTGGACCAAATGGACTAAATTGACACCTACAGAACACTCCATTCAAAGACCACAGAATACACATTCTACTCATCAACACATGGAACGTATTCTAAGATCGACCACGTAATTGGCCATAAATCAAGCATAAGCAAATTTAAAAGGACCAAAATTCTACCATGTACCTTCTAGGACCACAGTGGAATAAAAATAAACATTGACACCAACAAAGTCCCCCCAAAACCCACAAATACATGAACACTAAACAGCATGATGCTAAACAACTCCTGGGTCAATGATGAAATCAAAACAGAGATCAAAAGATACCTGGAAACAAATGAAAATGAAGAAACTTCTTACCAAAATCTCTGGGATGCCTTGAAAGCTGTAGTAAGAGGGGAATTTATATCCCTACAAACACACATGAAGAAAATGGAAGGAACACAAATTAACAACCTAACAAGCCACCTAAAGAAGCTGGAAAACCAAGACCACAAAAACCCTAATTTCAGCAGAAGAATCCAAGCCCAAATCCAGGACATAGAAGACAAAAAGATAATACAAAAAAAAAATCAATGAAACAAAAAGCTGGTTCTTCGAAATGATACACAAGATCAATGGATACACTAGACTGACCAAGAAAAAAACGAGAAAAAAACCAAATAAGCACAATCAGAAACACAAAAGATGAAGTCACATCTGACCCTGAAGAAATACAAAAGATCATTAGAGACTACTACGTACACTTGTATGGAAACAAACTCAAAAACCTGAAGGAAATAGAGGACTTTCTGACATCACACAACCTACCTAGATTGGAACAAGAAGAAATTGAGACCCTAAATAGACCAATAACAATCAAGGAAATCGACTACGTAATAAGAAAACTTCCTACAAAAAAAAGCCCTGGTCCTGATGGCTTTCCAATAGAATTCTACAAGACATTTAAGGAGGAGCTGACACCAATCCTACTGAAGGTATTCCAGGCAATTGAAAAAGATGGAACTCTCCCCAAATCATTTTATAAAGC